CATTTTCCGTGCCGTTCCAAATTGGGGTTTGGCTTCGGGCGCATCCATACGTCAGAAGGGAAGAAAAAACGAGAAAACAACTTTATCATCCAGCGCTGCTATGAGAACTATGTTTACCGCGGCACTCTCATCGTTTCCATCCAGCAGAAACTCATCACACACGGCCTCTAAATCACCGACCAGACCACATCTCCAAACCGCTAGACGGAGTACAGAACCAGCCCGAGGCTTGAGATGTTTAAAATAACGCTTCCCTTTGATATATATATATATATATGTATTCGTGTGTGCAGATGTTTTCCATGTGTTTGTGGCACGACTGAGCGCCTGAGACACGCGGCTCAGTCCAGCAGATGATCTCCTGTGAGTGACAGGTCATAGCCCCGCCCTCGTCATCAGAGAAGAGATGCTGAAGAGGAACTGATTCTGATTCAACATTATTAACACAATAATGATGATGTGCACCTGTAAGTCATTTTAAAATAAACACTAAATAAGAATGTAAATTTTGTTTTAATGCTAACTTTAAAATGCTGCGTTACGCTCAGATCGAAAAGTTGGGGCTGAAAAAGAACAACAGAAATTGTAAACTTTCATTGATTTTTTTTTCGAACTGTAAACATTTGATGAAAGATCGCAAACCTGATCAGCGTAATATCACTTTAGTAGAGTGTGGATCCAGCAATGCAAATAAGGAACCTTTGATTACACTTTATTAAGGTGTAAATATATATTTAAGTTCTGAGTAATAAAAATGAGCAACATGTAGATCCTTACTATAGAATTAGGGTTTGGTTGAGGGTTAGTTTCAGGTAATAGTAACAAGGACACTGTAAAATAAAATGTTACTGAACTCTCATATTTGAACATCTGACTTGAATGGAACGCAGCAGAAGTTCTGATTAACCAATCGTATCAGCCGGACAGAGGGGCGGTTCCTCATTCGGCTGTTCTGATTGGTTCAGTCACATGGAGCATCTCATGAGGTCGTGGGTTGCTGTGGTGATGTTGAGTGAGAGAGAACAGGGCTCTCTTTGAAAGACTCCAGTGTGTGTGTGTGTGTGTGTGTGTGAGTGAGTGAGTTTACATTGCCTGGCTGTCATCAACCCACGGAGCGGATCTTGGAAAATTACTGGCTTACGGCTTTATAAACACACCACCCGGGGTGCCCTCGAACAAACACACTGTACAGTAAAGAGCTCAGTCGAACTATTTTAGGGAATCATGAGGCCTAGACACACACACACACACATACATCTCAGAACCACAGCTCAGAAAACGGGAACGCTGCAGTCCTGCACTCAAGCGCTGTCTAGCTTTTAGATTTTGGAACAGAGTTTATGATTCAGCTCTTGAATATCTAATGATTCATTTGCAGATCATAAATCCAGAGTCGCGGGAAACGGACGGAGCAGAGCCGCGGGTTCCTGCAGTCGCAGTGACAGAGCTCACACTAAAGCACATGATTGCATGTGGAGATTACACTGCTGCCGCTGGGAAGGGAGGAACAGACGAGATGCACGAAGCAGTGTGTGTGTGTGTGTGTGTGTGTGTGTGTGTGTGTGTGTGTGTGTGTGTGTGTGTGTGTGTGTGTGTGTGTGTGTGTGTGTGTGTGTGGTCTGCTGACAGAGGGGAATTCCAAACCTGGGATTAACTCTGGCTGATCGAGGGCCAGCGAGCGAAAGGACAGGAAGGAATGCGTTACGGCGCGGAAAGCGTGTAATTAGAAGGCTGGCAAAACACACACACACACACACACACACACACAGACGGTGCTTCAAAGCAAGGAAAAATATGTTCCAAAAACAAAACACAAACATTCCCAGTGGGAAAATCCCAATCTTCTGCTGTTGCTGAAGAGCTGACGCACGGCTTCAGTTTCTCTCTGTTTCGAGTAAAGAAGTTCATAAAGTCGTTTCTGCTGTTTAGAAACATCTGAAGTTACGGCTTTATTTCGGGGTGATATCGCCACTGTATCAAATAAATACCCAGGGTTGTGTTTGTTTTCTTCTTGGACAGTCAGTAAGCAGATCTAGCAGTTTATGGAGCTTTCTGTGTGCGATATCACTATCCTTCCACCAAATACGAAAGACTGGTTTCTCGAGGGCCCAAGTGTGCTTGTGATACCACAACACACACACACACACACTCTCTGTCTCTCACTCACACACAAACACACAAGTAGAAAATAAAAGCAAGCAAAAAATTAAAAAAAAAATGTTGCAAAATAACAAACAAAAACAAAACCGTCTCTTCAGGAAAATGCCAAATATGCATTGTTATTGCGTGTGAGTGTGTTAAAGTTAGAGAGTGTTAGGGTTATGTATTTTGGGAGTATGTGTGTGTGTGTGTGTTAGGGTTAGAGAGTGATAGGGCTGTGTGGTTTGGGAGTGTGTGTGTGTGTGTGTGTGTAGTTTGGGAGTGCCTGCTTTCACTCTTCCATCATCAGATCTCTTCTGTGTGCTGACTCCAGATCAGTTTGAGCTCATGTAACCCCTCCACCCGGGTCCTACTCGCTCCGCTCCGAGCGGGCCTCGAACCCGGGTGTCCGGCATGAGAGTCGGGCGCTCTAACAAGGAGGCTAAAGACTGCAGCCGCTAGCGTCTGTCGCTAGAGCACCTGTGACACTCAGTCACAAACCATTTCCCGAAGTGAGAACAGCATTTAGTGAAGCCGTATAGTGCAACCGTCATTAGCGATGCCGACGAGATCCAGCAGTGTGTCCTGAGCAGAGGATGCTGTAACCATGGAAACGCGGGGACCACGCACAACTGATCTTCAAACATAACATTTCAGAAAACCTGTGATACAAAACACACGTGTGTTAGTGTTCTGATCAATATGATGAAGTCCACTAGTCTCACTCACTCATGAGCGCCGGCAGAGGAAACTAGTCTATTCTATTCTATTCTATTCTATTCTATTCTATTCTATTCCTGGTTTCTCAGATGAACTCGCAGGGAATCTGACAGTGAAAGCAGAAGTGTTTCAGTTACAGGGGAAGAACATGTTCACACAATACTGTACAATCCCTTCACATGTAGAGCTCACACACACACGCACAGTGCACACACGCACACACACACACACACACACACACACAGGTATCCTCTGTCGCTACAATAGCTCTGAGAGTGTTTGTGAACTGCTCTTTCCCACACTTAATAATTGAGCAATGAAAAACGAGACGCACATGAAACTCGAGACACACACCTGAACTTTTCCTCCGAGAGGCTGTTGGTCACATGATCCAGCCAGCCAATCACACGCCTCGCCTCAGCGGCTGACCCGAGCATCTATTCATGTGTGTGACATCAGGAACGTGTTTGTTTGCCAACGTGTTTTCCACAGTACATGTTTCATGTATGATCTGATAGAAGACCCTCCCGACTCTCTGGCTTCTGCTGATTAAGATATTTATTTACATTGACGAGACTTTCGTTATATTACCGTATATGACATTAATTATAGCCTATTATATTATTTAATATGCAAACAGTAAAAGATATTACATGATCCACTCCTGAAATAAATAAATCAATGTGAAAAACACAGGAGCTTCACACAGAACCCGTGCTTCGGATGTTTTCCACACACTCGGCTGAACACACACACACACACACACACACAAATAATGTATTTGTGTTATTAGAAATGTGCAGTTACATCAAAAGTAATCCGATTACATAATGTGTGTTACTTTACTCGTTTCAGTCTGAAACATCACTGGATAATGCAGATTTGCGTCACATATTTTCCTCCTAAAGAAGCATTTGAGACAAAACTCGTATGTAGAACCAGCCTGTAGAGTCTCCTATATATGAGCCAGTGTGGCACCTGTGGCTGTGTGTGTGTGTGTGTGTGTGTTGGTCACAGCTGGCAGCATCTTCCCCAAATATCATCCCTCTTTCTATTTATACCAGCGCTCCGTCCTTCAGGAGTCATGGCGACGCCGCATCATCACTCCAGGTGCTCTGTGGGCGGTCGCCATGGTTACGGCAGCAGGATCTCAGCCAATCCGGCGCCGGGAGTCAAGGGAGAATCTGTCTCTTTGTTTCAGGAAAACACACACACATCACGTGATGTTTTTCCAGCAGAGTAAATCAATCTCGCTCTCCGGCTCCGTTGGACTGTGTGTGTGTGTGTGTGTGTGTGTGTGACTCACTGATGATGACGCATCAGTGCTGATCAACAACCAGCTCATTTGCATATCGCTGCATAATGCAACCGGTTCCTCTGACAACACGGGCCTTACACACACCTGGAGAAGATCGTCTTCATCATCATATTCATCATCTTCATCATCCTCCAGTTCTCCTCTATATCAGTGTCAGTGTTCCTGAACTCCTGAAACGTCTCGAGTTTCTCCCGGGAACACGTCACAATATTCCTCATTATAATAATTCATGCGCAGAATAAAGGGGCGGGGCCTGGTTGAGTTAGTTAGTAGTGTGTTAAACTGGCGGTTATGGAAAGGGGCGGGGCGTTTCCAATACACACTCAAAGCGCTCGACCAATTACAACACACTGCTCCAGCCGACCAATCAGAGCACAGTGTGTATTCAGGAGGCGGGGCTTCATAGAGACAGGAAGTAAACAGAGCGTTACTGACAGACTGGGAAGAGAGGAGCCGCAACAATGGAGAATATGAGGAGAATAATCAACATTCGAGTTCTAGAAGAGCCTGAAAACATCATCAAGACTTTTATAAAGTGCAGAATATGAGCTCTTTAGTAAAGAAAATATAGTCAGTTTAAACCGTGTGGATTTGTTGATCATTCAGGACGATCCGCACCTCCTGTTGGGAAGACTCGATAGTTTTCGGATGTCACTTGATTCGTGTCTCTTCTTTCCAGAAGCTGCCGCCAAACTCACAGGCTTGTAAATGAATCAAAGTGATCACCAAAGGAAAGTACGCTCTAAACTTTTTCCGCTTTCAGCTTTTCCTCAGTGCACTTATGTAAATCAGGCCGTTTCCTGGCTCTGTCCGCGCGTGTGTGTGTGTGTGTGTGATATATCGACTCATTCCCGTGATGAAGAGCCAGACACACAGAGGACGAGCGCTCCTTCCTCACCGCTGAGAAATCACTCAAACGTTCAACTGTCGTCGCTCCGCCGCCCTCAAACGCCTTCTGAACTGAGACACGCGCGCATCACATGATCATGACATCAGCTGGCTGACTTATGATGTCACACGTCTGCAATCATCTCAGCAACTGATATCTGAATGACACAGTGATGGAGGTCAGTTTCTCGCACACACACACACACACACACACACACACACACAGAGCAAGCCGCCCGAGGATCGGCACATCTGATCTGCGACTGCACTCATTTAAACACATTTGTGTTGCGCCGCTGGTGAAAGGAAGCCGATTACATCCCTGAACTTTGAACTGAGGTTGAACACGGGAGTTTATTTTGATTTAAATTTGAATCCACAAAAGAAGAGATGCAAACAAATTCATACGTTTCATGTTTTCAGTATGAGTTACTCATAAACTCAACATAGGGGTTAAATGTGTATAACGGAGTGTGTGTGGCACTGAGAATCCCACAGATGACTCGAGTCTGATGATGAGGAGGATCCTGACGGCATTATCCGCACCGGACCGGATCCCGCGAGTGTCCATGGTCATCTCACAGAGGAGTCGGAGCGGGAAATAACACGGAGCAATAAAGTCGACAAGCGAAAGGGAAGTTTCGCTCATCTTCTCCTCTTTTGTGTCGAATATCGAGAGAAACGCTTCATGAACAAGAACACATGTGGGCGGGGCTTGATTGGTTTGCTATTGGCTGATCTCCTGTGAGTGACAGGTTAAAGCCCCGCCCTCGTCATCAGAGAAGAGATGCTGAAGAGGAACTGATTGAGATACAGGAACGGAAATAAGCAGAACATATAAGTACATCTGGACTACTATTGCTGTCTGCACAGGTGAATTATGGGTAATGGTGGATTATGGGTAATGATGGCAGTTGTGACCTCAGACTGTGAACAGAAAAGTCCCAGTGGTTCTGAAATCCCCGTCAGGCGGTTTCACTTCTGTAGTGTCGCTTTCAGATCCACCGCTGAATCACACACACACACACACACACACAGAAAAAAATAAAATAGCAAAATTCTGTCAATGCATTTTCTTACACATGTAATCACAGTGTGAGACTTCATCTGTGTCCCAGTTTCAATAAATCCTCAGTGTGTGTGTGTGTGTGTGCGCACGTGTGTTTATCGTTCCTGTTTCGCAGACACTTTCGATTTGTTCTTGTTTGAGTATTTCTGCGAGTTACTGCACTGACACACACACACACACACACAATACGCATTAATAAAGGGGCGGGGCCTGGTTGAGTTAGTTAGTTGTGTGTTAAACTGGCGGTTATGGAAAGGGGCGGGGCATTTCCCAAACACACTCAAAGCGCTCAACCAATCACAACACACTGATCCAGTCGACCAATCAGAGCACAGTGTGTTTTCAGGAGGAGGGGCTTCATCGAGACAGGAAGTAAACAGAGCGTTACTGACAGACTGGGAAGAGAGGAGCCGCAACAATGGAGAATATGAGGAGAATAATCAACATTCAACTTCTAGAAGAGCCTGAAAACATCATCAAGACTGTAGAAGTGCAGAATATGAGCTCTTATTCTTCCCCTCAGATATTTAAATACTGTATATGATGTTTTATCTGCTATCTTCGATCAAGCATTAGTAACGCTTCACAGTACGAAATGAAAAGAGATCAGAATGTTGTTCTGTGTGTGTAAATCCTGCAGCTGTAATGAGCCGTGAAATGATTTCCCCATTTAATGGAGCTGAACTTTTAATTACGCTTGAGTGAAATTTCCATCAGCTGCTCGGAAATAAAGAGAGGGATGAAAAGGAGAACAGAGAGAAAGACGAACGGATGCAGAAGAGAGCGGCGCGACCGCGTTTGATCTGAGATCACAGTTGTAAACTCCCTGTGTGTGTGTGTGTGTGTGTGTTCACTCTTCTCTCTGTTTCTGCTGATCCAGGATCTGATGGCGAACCTCACCGTGGGGAATCCGGTTGTCATGGAGATGCCAGTGTCTCTGACATCATCAGATGAGATCATCCGTCACTCTAACTGTCTGCGTTTCTATAGCAACAGCTCATATTATGGGCTGAGTTCCCATGATGCACCTGGACTTATTCACTCAGTACTAGGGGTCACTAGGGGAGGGGTCGTGTTTAGCTGAAGGCTCCGAGACCGACATATGGCTGAGCCAATCAGAGCCCAGAGCTGATCACAAGCCACGCCTTCCCTCCCTGAGGAACACAGAAGAAACAGCTGGAAAAGAACATCTGCTAATGACGTGAGATACACACACTCTTCACTGATCGAAACACTGATGACGTGAGATACACACACTCTTCACTGATCGAAACACTGATGATGTGAGATACACACACTCTTCACTGATCGAAACACTGATGATGTGAGATACACACACTCTTCTGAACTGAGTCGTTTGCTCTGGAGGAACACACACCCGTCTCTCCCGAGCCTGATGGGATATACACAACAAGCCATTAATCAAATCAAAGGTAGATCCATCATAAAACTAATCATTATTCTTTACATTTTTTTAAAATAAATGACCATGGAGAAGGACTATCGACTGGCCTTGGCTTTCTTCTCTTCTATCTCTTCTTCTTCTTCTCTTCCCTCTCTCCACTGAACTCTTTCCCAGCTTTTTCCCTCATAAAAGCTTTGGCTCTCCAGTACTAATCCGGTCTGTTCCCTCCCTTCATTACAGTAACAGCAGCTCGATCTCCTGCTGTGTGTGTGTGTGTGTGTGTCTGGGAATGACGACATCCATCGGGAAATGATGTTTCCACATTTGAAGATTACAGAATGACTCCCAGGGATTAAACTGGGAAAACATCGGGAGAGCTTGATGAAAGAGCAACAGTTTTCCTGAAATAACAAACACTGGAGAGATTTTAACTATAACTATTAACTTACAAAGCAAGTTGAAAATATTTTTTTATGCAGCTACAACTTTGAAAAAAACTTTTTTTTCCATTAAAGGAGAACTCGGGTCAATTTTAACATTGAGCTCATTTGGAGGGCTGTCAGTACAGACAAAAACAACAAAAATCGGTGTTTCCTCCAGCGTGTTCATGTCCTCTTTAAAATTGGCACCCTGTTGACTTCAATGGGGGATGATCTAAACCGGCTTTAAGACTCTTAACATCTTTGATTTATCATTACGAGTGCAGAGCTATGTGTTATAAACCATTTTTCAGTCGGTAAACATGGTGATGTTTTTCGTGGGCGGAGCTTAGGTGGAGGCAGAACGATCCCTCTGGCCGCTTCACTAACGCTAGTTAGCAAGTACTGTTAGCTTGATTTTTACCAATGACGGGAGAAAATCCGATATTATCTTAATGTGTAAGGTCACTCAGTGTCCAGGACCGCGATTGTTATTTCCAAAAGTTATTTTTAACGGACGGCCGACCCGTGGCCGCCTACACGCTCACTCAATGATGGACGAACAGGATTAACGTACGTTACCTCGGTTGAGTGGCCTGACTTCTACACCTACCTTATAGAGAAACCCATCGTAAAGAGAAACTGAGGGCATATAAATCTTTAGATGCCTATATGGTCCTGTACAAGACTTGTGTGTACGATTCGCAGTTCTGCCGAGTCAGCGCCGAGACCACGACAATGTAAAGAGTGACATTACAGTGCGATTTTAATGACGTGAATATTTTCTAGAAATAAAAGTTCCAGATACAGCATATTCATTTTTCGTCAATTCTTGCACCAAACAACACAACAAGATGACATTTAATAATAGTAACAATTATTTTATTATGTAGCCGAATCTGTGCTGGTTTTGTATCGGCCGCCTCCAGTTTTCACTTTGTTTTGCCTCCAGCTAGCGCCGTGACGTAACTGTGACGTCGGCGCAATAGGGGTCTATTAAGAGTGACCACGGTCAATCTGACTGCAGTAGATGTGAAAGATATTAATAAAAGTGATGTTAATTCAGCCGGCGCACACACCTCTATTTGCTTCCTGTTTTCGGTCGAAGCCCACAGTAGTCGATCGTCGAGTTCATGCGCGCGATCATTAGTGAATATCATCTCAAACCCAACACTGTGGTGTTCTGATTATATCGGCTCAAATCTGACACTGGGTTAAAGAGGAAACACCACTCGTGAAATACTCTACAACACACAACATCCCAGACATCACATGAAGAGACACACTCGATAACTCGATATAAAACAGCTTTCTCTTCTAATCACACACAGCTGTCAAAGCAGTGTCACACACACACACACACACATGTGGTGATTCTCTCTTTGACATTGTTATCCTATGATTATTGTAATTCAACTGTTTAAAATGAGAAATAAGATATAAACCTTAGTGGTCGTATTAAACCTCACTGTACAACTGTGGCTGGCAGTCAGATGATCACATGATGTTTTGCTTTCAGTCCAGCTGTGTGTGTGTGTGTGTGTGTGTGCAGGAGAGCCGCAGAACTGGCAGACACACAGTTTTTCCTAGAACCCGACGGGATGTTTCCAAGAACGGATGCTGACGGGCTCCAGACTCAGAGCTGCAGCGTAAGGCCATCACACTCCATCACAGCAGTCTCACACGCTTCAGTCCCAGAATACACGGCCAATCAATAAAAATACTTTAATCCAATTAAAAACAGTACTTTTCACTCAATATATGTGTGTGTGTGTGTGTGTCTGTGTGTGCGTGTCCCTAAACCCGAGCCTCTCTCTCCTCTTACTCAACCTCCTGGCTCTTCTCCCAGATCCCGATCCGGTGTCCTCCGACATGCACTCTCTTTACCCAGCATGCAATAGCCTCGTCTCAGTTAACTATAGACCCGATATAGTCCGGCTGTGAGTAATACACTTCTAGTTTAAATCACCTTGAACTTGGTTGCATGTCGTTTTAGCCAGATGGACTGTGAGATGTGTGATGTCCGTCATGTCAGTGATCACACAGGTTCATTTCTACTGACGTCTATTACATTTACACGGACAGCCCAAATGTTGCCGTGTGTTAGCCTGGACATTCAACTCCAAGAATTGCACACAAAAAGGTAAATGCCGCACATCTGCTAAACGAAGCACTCAAACCATCACACACATCTCAAACACCTTTGCCATAATATTATATTTCTGTATCATACACACACAGTTATTCAAAACCTAAAGCTGAACTTTCACAGACATTTCTGGACAAGATTGAAAGTAATTGTCAGAGACGTTGAAGATTTCACGGTAAACACGACAGCAAGATTTTTTACTTGTGAATACAGAATTACAGTCCCAAAAACCCATAGCTCGACCTTTGACCTATTACAGTAATAGACCTATTCTAAAGCGATGATTGGCTAGTGTTCAGTAAAGCGATGAGTGTTTGCACATGTGAGCGTGTGTGTGAGGCTCTGATGCATTACTGTGGTGTTTTGGAAAAGGAAATCAAGATAGATTTGTGTGTGTTACAGAGATGTGTGTGTGCAAAAGTGTTTTATGAAATGTAAAACTCGTGGAAGGCTGAGAATGAGTGTGTTATTGTGTGTTTCTGGTGTTTGAGTGTCAGGTTTCAGAAATAAGGATTCTGTGTGTAACAGCATGTAATGCAAAACTGCCTGCTGGGTAATGTCCGAGAAGCGTCCTTGGGCGGCTGGACACACACACACACACACTCGGACACACGATCAGCTTCTATAAATCTCCTTCTTCTGAGGAAATCAGACGATCTGGATGTTTGAACTGGCAGTGAAATGTGACGCCGCTAAACATCCTGATGATGACGGACCCGCGAGCGCTAAATATAAACATAACCGCTTCACACAAGAAGCATCATGTTCTCAGCTCAAGACAAACTCGGCTCTGGCCCAACATCCGCGGGAGCTTTCAATCGAAACTTTATCTGGACAATAACTTGATTCTAGATTGTAGCAGTAAATGAAGAGATGTCTTATGGATCACGAGTTCAGTATGGCGTACCACAAGGCTCAGTGCTAGGACCGCTGCTGTTCACTCTGTACATGCTGCCATTAGGAGATATGGTAAACGGACTGCATTTATATTGGACTTTCACTGTCCCAATGGCCACCAAAGCGCTTTACATTTGCCTGACATTCACCCATTCACACACTCATTCACGCTTGGTCAGGTGGAACCGGGGATTGAACCAGCAACCTTCTAGAACCCACGAGCCACTGCCGCCCCCACTGAGCCATATTACACCGCTTTCCACCCGATGGATTATAAATCTATGGCGTCCCCAGAATGCGTGTGGGAAATTTCAGCTCCAAAATATCAGATCATTTATTATAGTTCGTCAAATTTGCCCCTTTTGTGTGTGTGTGTCACTTTAAATGCAAATGAACTTTCGAAACACACACTCGAGCTGCACTGCACGACAATGGAAGATTTCTTCCCACAAGCATGATCCCGGAGGAGGACACACACACACACACACACACACACAGGGCCTTTCCCAAACCCAGATGTGCACAAACAACAATGAAGAGAGTTTATACTCGCGTTCTTCACTGTCCAAACAGAGTGTGCTATTAACATTTTCTTTGTTTAGGAATCGGAGAGGACGTGCATAACTCTCGCTCCGGGCCACCGTCCAGCGAATGCCTGGGAGAAATCCTCTGGGATTATACAGGGAGTTTGTGGATACAGGGGTCATGCACACTTACTACTGGAATATTCAAATATTCAATAGAACTAGAGAAAATAAAGTTATTTAGATATTCTCTATGTGCAAAGTAAGTAAACAGACGGACGGACAGATTTTTTACAATTTAGTAAATTCCTTTTCCTCTCGTTCCCAGCGTCAACGAAGACCTCTAAACTAAACCTCCTGTGTCTGGATGTGGGAAACGCTCCTGAATAATCAAGCTGTCAGGATCCTGTCTGGAGAGAGCTGGAGAAATGAGAAGGAATGAAGTAATATTTCAGATTGGCACAGTAATGAGACCCCTGGTGACAGACAGAGAGAGAGAGAGAGAGAGAGGTCTATTATTCACAGTCAGGAGATTATGTAACAGGAGCTGAGAGTGAGTTTATCCTCGTTCTCTCTTTGAGCTCCTCATCTTCTGCTCTCTAACATGTCTCTCTCAGTCTCTGTTCCAGTTTATAGTGAACAGCCTCACAGTCCAATGTTTATAAAGTAAGCTAAAGGGTTAGTTCACCCAAAAATGAAAAATTCTGTCAGTATTTACTCATCCTCATGTTGTTAAACCCCGTAAGACCTTCGTTCATCTTCTGGACACAAATTAAGATATTTAAGATATTAAGATCGCTCCTGCATACAGTCCATAGGCTTCTTGAGGGAATGACTCTTGCTGGCCTCGAAAAGTCATTAAAGACATCGTTAAAATAGTCCAAGTGACTACAGGAGCTCAATCTTAACTTTATCAAACGACGAGAACACTTTTGTGCGCAAAAATAACAAAAATAAGGCATGGAGAGAACAGAGAGACTGTATTAGTGATGATTTCATCAGTCATGTGAACCTCAGAGATTCCCGAGGCCTCGTCTCTCATCAGGACTATAAATAAAGAGGTTTGGTGGCGGAGCGAGAGGCGTTCATCATGCAGAGGAGGAGGAGGAGGAGGAAGATGTGTCTGCTAACAACAGGGTAGAAATGTGGAGAAACTAGAGCTGGACAACGACTAATCGCCATTAACTGCATCCAAAAGAAAAGTTTGGGTTTACAGTACACGTGTGTGTACTGTGTATAATTATTTTGTATACAACTACACACATATTCAATGCATCTATATATTTAAGAAAAATGTGTTATGTATACAATATATATTCCTATTTGATATAAATTATGTATAATATATGTATTTTGTCTTTTACCGTTAAAATCACAAAAGATCAAACATTTTTTACAGTGTATGGTGAAAGACTACGTTACCCATGATGCTTTACTGAAATTCCACCAATCAGAGAGTCGCAACAAACAAATGGCACCAAAAGAGCTCTTTAGCTCCGCCCACTCCCATGAAACCCGGTCTCACGGTAATTCGTGCGAATTTTATGAGGTTGCCCAATTCGTGAGTTTTTATGATTTATGAGTTGCCCAATTCGTATGCATCCGTACAATGACCTACACCTGACCCCGCCCCTAAACCTAACCACCACGTGGGTTTAGACAAATCATACGAATTAGAGACCTTTTACTCACTCGTATGAATTCGTCCTGAGATATCGAAAACAGAGTTTGAACTCAAGGGGTGTTATTGGGCAAAATGTTGCAGAGAAAAGATGCCGTATAGAACTGTGTATCAGTTTCATGATACTATATCTCTTGTATTTGAAACGTCAGACATAAACTGCATGAGAACAGTCACGTGACACGTCTCATATCAACGAGTCGCCCTTGAAGAGCCTCAGCGTCGGTCTGAGTGATCCTGTTTCAGCTGAGTCCCATTTACCTTCCCGAATCCCACCCACACCAGATCAAAGGGGCGGGGCTTCAGATCACAGCAGGAGGGGGCGTGGCTTCAGATCAGAGTGGGGGCAGGGCTTCAGATCAAATGGGCGGGGCTTCAGATCACAGCAGGAGGGGGCGTGGCTTCAGATCAGAGTGGGGGCAGGGCTTCAGATCAAAGGGGTGGGGCTTAAGATCAACACTGAGGGGCGGGGCTTCATGTAAAAGAAGAGGTAGTGTGGCTTAAGATCAGAGTGGGCTTAAGATCAGCATGGGGGCGGGGCTTCAGCTCACGGAGATCAGCTGTTGCACGGGAGTTGCACCATCACTACAGACATGAGAGAGATTTCATCCTCACAGATGTTCAAATATGTATGAGGAAGATTTCACAGTCCTGCCGGGCGAAGCGAAGGAGATCCACATCACAGAGGAAATCGACGGAGAGAGACGGTTCTGAGGCAAAAGAGTGAAATAATGAAGGCCTTTAGAGTGAGAAGCTGGAGGACGTGAAGTCTCCATTAAAGACTGCAACACCGTGAACACTATCCGCAGTCTTACAGACCTCGTGATCCACCGAATCTCTTTCCCAGAGCAAAACCTCTCGTCCCTGCCTGTTATGACCTGGCTCTCCTGTGTGTGTGTGTGTGTGTGTCTGCCTCTTGTTCTCTCTCTACAGGACACACACACGGATATACTGAAACCAAAATTACAGAATCAATCCAAACCGCTCCAGCAACAACTCCACTGTTCAGACTCTCTTCAGACTCGCAGTCTTTTCTGATTTCGTAAACCGGGCGATCAAAACTACGAAAAATCCCATTTAGGCCCACTGTCATTGAGGGGCCAAAACACACACTCTCACACACACACACACACACGTGACGCTGTTCTCCAGATGTGATGTTGTGCTTGTGTTTATTTTCTCAGTTACCCACAGGTCTGCAGGGTCAAATGTCAAGAGACTGAGATAAGCCCTGCCCAATGGCTGGAGAGGGGCGGGGCCAGCCGTGACTCACAGGTCAATCACTGCCATGTGCTTCATCATCATCATCATCCGCTTCATTCATCACATTCAGACCTTGTGAAGATATATTTGTCCAGGAACATTTCAGCCAGAAAACAAGAAAAATTATTTCTTGTTTCAATATAGGTATTGATGTATTTATGTTGTTTTTGTTTTTATATTTTAAAATAATATGTATATATATATATACATATTTATATCTTTATAAAAATATATATATATAATTTCTTGTTTTAATGTATTAATGTATTTTTATTTTTTTAAACAGTTTCAGTGAAGCGGAGTGGATCACGTCAGTTGCAGACACAGCTAAGAAGAAACAGAACAATGAAACACACACACACACACACACACACACACACACACATCTGCAGGCCAGCCAAAGTGCAAGAGTTGAGCAACAGATCCTGATACACATTAACCGATGAGGTCACAGAAACCCTCATCCCTTCCTTCTCTCTCTCCGTCTCTCGTGTGTTCGGTTTAAGCGTGGACGGACACACCCGAGACCCACGGCGGACAGACCTCCGGCGAGAGGAGCTCACTGTAACTGGAGTCATGTAATCAGATTACTTCTTCAAGTAAATAAAGTAACTCATTACTTTTAAAAGACAATATCTGACTTACTTTTTCAAATAAGTAACTCAAGTTACTTTGTTTTCCCATTTAGACAGGCTCGACTGTCCTCATGTTGGAAGAAATCGAAGTGCAGAGGTGTGTGTGTGAAAATGATGTTATTGTAGTTCTAGACTAAATAAGATTTTTTGCACACAAAAAGGTTCAATATTCCTCAGAAGAACAGAATGAGTGAAACGCAGAGTGAGTTTGACGCGTCGGAGTGATTTAGCGAGCGGACGCGAGTGTGTAACACAGATGATAACACTGATAACACACAAACACACTCATTCTGGCCTCCACGAGTCCGTGAAACCATCAGCAAACATTACTGTACAAGTTTTTTATTGCTAAAGTAAGTGTTAAACTTCGTATTCTTCCCTTTTTATTATTTCACTTTTGGTGTGAAAGGGTTTTACATTTACCCAAAAATATGACTTTTTTGTAATAAAAAAATAAGCCCAGTAGCGTAACAAATTACTCTTCTATAAAAATATAAGGTAATTACTTACTTTTAAGGGAGTAACGCATCATTGTAATGCATTAGTAAGTGATTTCCCCACTGCACACCTCAGGTAAACACACCGTCTTCAGTCCGAGATCCTCTCTAAAGGCCCGGTCAGAGTTCTGGGGAGAGAGCCGGACAGTGTTCCCGTCTCTCGGGGATGATGGAGGGATGAGGAGAGAGAGATGCGGGACGACGACTCACGCGATCCCTCTGAACTGTGCGTGGAAAAGCTTCACCAAATCTCTGGTGCTCTTCGGACATTTCTGACCGCAACATTTTACTTTTTTTTAACTTAATTGGAATGGTACGAAACCATTCCAGTAACCAGTAAAGGTTTTGGCACTTGTTATGTGAAAACAACAAAAAGTTATTGGACATGATCTGAACAGGTTTAATGGTTTACAACAGTCACACTTGTGTTCTTCGCGGTCAGAAATGACGCATTGGAAATGAATGAGAGTGTCCTCTAGTGGAAGCGTCTGGAACTGCAGCCACACACACACACACACACTCACTAAACGCTCATTTGCTCATTTTCATGGCTTTGATTTTCTTACAGTTTAAGAGTAAAACGTGATTTTGACAATATATATTTCATGTAAAAATTTGCATTAATTTAACAATACATCTAAAATTCTGTTACTTCTTTATGTTCACTTTTTAAAACTTTTCTCACTTCAACAATAATCTGCCGAGTGTGTCTTTGAAAAGAGACCAACCTCAGTCTGTCGCTCTAAAGCAATCAAGATTTACCAGTTTAAGCGGGAAATATAATTTTTGGTCGCTAAAAAAGTGATTGTAAATACAGCGTAAATACAATTTAGTACCATAAAATCCCCTAAAAATACAAAATATGACTTAAAAACACAATTAAATGTACTACGTTCATTTCATTGACAAAAATAATAATAGTAAAAAATTGGGTCATTTTTGTCGGACACGCGAAGAGCACCAGAGGGGTAACTAGCACTGAATAGACACGTGTAGCATCTCTATACTAAAGTGACTAAATACTTGCTGTAGAAGGAAATCTTCCTGAGACTGTTTGGCCTCCAGCGGAGGTGTGTGTGCTCTGAGGAACACGTGGCGTCAGGACCCGGCCCGGACCCGGCGTGCGCCAGCGCTATATTTGGTGCGGTGCCGAAGCGGTCCTCCAGATTCAGGCCCGCAGGCAGAGCCGGGACACGACGGCCTTTCTTGGTGTTCAGTGTGTGTGATTGATGCTGACGCTTCGCCTGTACTCTGGCTAATTATAGAGAGAGCAACTGCTGGAAATATCTGATCCCATCCGCATTCCTGCTCTCGCTGGGACACTGAGGAATGCGATCCGGGTGTTTGGCTTTTCTTCCCCCTCCCGTGTGTGTGTGTGTGTGTGTGTGTGTGTAACCCTGAGGCCAAATGCACAAAAGCGCTGACGTGGCAAACAGGATCACTGAGGCCTTCAGTCCTCCAGCATGAGCAATCCTTTAGCAAGGAGTTTTAAGGAATGAACTAAACCAACAATGTCTGATGCAAAAAAGTACTAAATAAACAGATTTTTGACTTTTATGAATGGATGAACTGAAACACGGCCGATGACGAAACTGAAGCAGGAACAGACATTCTTCCAGTGACGCCAACAGAACGAACAGAAGTTATCTGGACTTTAATAATGTTCTCAGCATCATAAATGGAATATTTTTATTATGAAAGAATTCGTTAGACGTTCATCTGACGGTTTTTAAACGTCGAACATCGAAAAGCAATAAAATGGATCACTCCCTTGAAAAAAACATTTTGAAAACTGCACATTTAAAACGTATTTTTGAATATATTGCATAACTCAATAGTTGCATATCATTGCATTTCTTAAAGGGATACTCCAGTTTTTTTGGAAATAGGTTCATTTTACCACCCCCCCCCCCCCCTCCCCCCCCAGAGTTAAACAGTCGAGTTTTACCGTTTTCGAATCCATTCAGCCTATTTTGTGAAATTTAGAAGAATATCAGAAACCAAACAGTTTCTGGTCTCATTGACTTCCATAGTAGGAAAAAACTGTCTGGATACTGATATTCTTTTAAATATCAGAAAATCGGCTGAATACATTCAAAAACGATAAAACCCAACTGTTTAACCCTGGGGGAATTGTAAAATGAACCTATTTCCAAAAAAAGTGGACTATCCCTTTAAAGTCCCCCATGACAATCATTTTTATCCCTTGGAACTCATATTTAAGTTTTTTTCCTTGCAAAAATGTCTGAAAATACCTTGTAACTGTAATGTAACTCGACACCCTCGCCTCATTTAGTATGTGCGGTTCTATGAAAATGCAAATGAGCCCCGCCTCCACTCACTCACTCAGAGATCCACTGGTTGGCGATCACACGTTGATCTGATTGGTTACAAGGTGGTTTGTGACGTCAGAAACACCAGCGATTTCAAAGTGTGTTTTTGAGACTGTCTTTGGTTCACTGCAGGAAATACTCAGCAATGCTGTCCACTTATCAACGCACACATGCTTAAGCATATTAAACACACCACATACACACATAAACAACATTAAACGCTGGATTTACACCACAGGGGGACTTTAAATGTTTATGTTATGCTCTTCAAATTAAAGGTTCAATGAAGAACGTTAAAAGTCCACAAACCCCTTAGAAAATAAACCATTGTTCCCAAAGAAGAACCCGTGAGGAACATTATAATAACCTAAAGGAAGACTCTCTAGATGGTAAAAGGTTCTTTTTTAAAGTGCAAAAATATTATTAAAATAATCTTCACAAAAAGGAAAAAATGATTATTTTCAGGTCAGTTCCGTGAAAGGTTCTTTAATGGCATTCAACTTTAACCTCTGAAAGCCGACTCTATTCCTCGTTTTAGTCTGAAGAACCCAAGCCAACCATAAACAAGCAGTGTGAAAACTCAAAGTGTTTCTGGAAATTAATATTTTTATCAAATCAGCTAAGTTGACCTTGAATGTCTGGAGCTCCAGTCATCTCACTATAACAAAGAAACGAACGACATTATAA